TCAAATATTTTTTTTTTTTTTATGGTAAGTTTTTATTCTTTTCTCTCTTGAAACAAATTATAATCATAGTACAAATTACAATCATCATAACTCTCACTGCAAATGTGATGACATTATAAATCAGTATAAATTTTTGTCATACAAACGACTTCAAAAGAAACTTACATAGTTAGTTCCTATACATCATATTTGAAACAAAAATTCATATTTTCAAAGAAAACATATGCAGTTGTATAATCCAATTTTTTTTTTGTTTTAACAATGTAGCAACTTATACTTCTTTTTATACTGTTGTCCTGAGAGAAAAGTTTTCTCTTTTTGTTAACCCTACCCTACCCGACCTCTCCCTTATCCCCATTCCCCCCCCCCCCCCCCTCTTAACCGGTGGACGACTGGCTCTGGGTTCCAATTGTTTGTCTAATACTCAGGTTTTCCCATTTAGAAAAATGAATAGTGAGAGTTCCCCTCATTGCTGCCAATTTCCTTTCTTCTACTTTATCCCCTATTATACTATTCTTTATTTCATTAAAAGAGGGTGGTTTTTTAAGTTCTCTATTTCTATAAATCAGATATTTAACAAGAATTAAAACATGATTCATTAATTGATATATTATATACGTCATGAATCGAACATGATATTTAAGTTGAGTACAAATTTGATTAAAAAACAACAAAAGGAACGTTTAAAACAATTTACGGAAGGTTGATTCTTTAGATGGTTTGGAATAGGACCTTCGTAAAAAAAAAAAAAAAAAAATCAGTTGCATAATCAGAGTCGTTGCGAAATTTGTCCTCAAATCCTGGACCCCCACCGCGAAAACAAAACAAAGGAAGTTCTCTTATCATAATACCCCCCCCCCCCGCTTATTCAGCAGTTAGCTGAGTCGTTGCGAAATTCTCCGGGCGCAATTTTCAAATTTTAACCACCCCCCTAGAAAAAATCCTGCGTACGCTACTGACTATAGTTATAATTGGGAGAAGATTGGTATGAGCATTATGGTATCAACAAGCGAAAATGTCGACCTCTTCATTCACCCGGCCGGGATTTACAAATCGACGGCGTTCAATTTAGTTAGGATTTTATAGACTTTCTATTTTATTGATAATCTATTCTATAAAATGGTACAGACTATCAAGAAGCAATTTACCACAATAACAGGGATATTTTCAATAACTTTTCTTCGACCACCTCTTTTGCTAGCCAAAATAACCACTTTGTCAAACGATTGATATTATATTTAAGACCTGCTTCAAGGACGCGAAACCAACCTAAAGATCTAACATGTCATACTCAATAATTCAGGCGCGTAGCCAGAGGGGGGCGGTGGGGGCGGTCGCCCCCCCCCCCAAAAAAAAAAAAACGCCGGCCAAAAAAAAAAAGAGAGAGAAAGAGAAGAAAAAAAAAAAGAGGACGTAGGAAGAAAAAGGGAAAGGAGTCGATAACGGTACAGCGAATCGTTTTCTTTCTCTAATAATTTAATGAAACGTCAAAGCTTCCGCGCTTCGCGCGGAACAGGAGAAATTGTGTTCAAATTAAGAGTCGACAACGGAACAAAGAATCGTCTTCTCTCTCTAATAGTTTAATAAAACGTCAAGCTTCCGCGCTTCGAAAGAGGGGGACTGAATACAGATAAGGATTAAGGGTCGGGAAAGGTACAGCGAATCGTCTTCTTTGTCTAATAATACGTCAAAGCTTCCGCGCTTCGCGCAAGAGGAGGGGGGGGGGGGTCTACGCGCTTGATACTCATCACTGTTTTCATTGTAGTTTTCATTTTTTCATTTCATTTATTTCCATATTTCTCATGTTACATATACATTTCAAAATAAAGTACAAGTTTTTTGTTTGTGATGAAATAACAATCAATGATACTTAATAAATGACATAAAGATAACTGGTTAATATAGAGTACTGATTTAACTGAGAGAAATAGGATGGGACCTAGGCTACATGAAAGCAAGCTTGTAAAGCTGTAGGCCTCAGTGACCTAATTTGTGGTAATGAATGGAGGACGAATATAAATAGTGACCAATCCAAATAAATCAAAAAATAAAAAAGGAAAGAAAAAATTGAAAAGAAACATGCGGTAGTGCTGTTTATATTTTCCTTCCTTTTATAACAAGGTAAACAAAAGTACTTAGTAAATAAACAAACACAATGTTAAAAGTACTATGTTCCATTTGCAGGCCATAAAAAATGAAAAGGTTAAATTCCAACGGCATTTGAAAGATAATACTTATTTAGAACTTCCCTAAAAAAAAAGGGGGGGGGGGAGGGCTTGAAAATGTCTTTAAGTGGGAAAATAACGAATATTAGTTGTCAAATCGACTTAAGAAATATAGAGCCAATAAGTAACAGTCTGATTGTCAGACCATTGTACCGAATGGTCGTACGTTTTATGCTGCGCAAAGATTCTATCAGTTTAATTTTGGCCATTACAAGAAGTGGGTTATTGATGTAGACAAATGCTCATAATATGTACCCTTTACAGCTCATTTTATGTATGTTATTACCAAAGAAGAAAAAAGGCCAGTCAGTCACTCAATAGTGTCTGACAGTCTAGCAAGTAAACGGGTTTCCTTGCATAATTTGAATATTAGGACACTGCTAACGTTTAAATTTCACAGATAGGACAAACATGAAATATTCATAATTCTTGCAAAGTTCTACAAAATTTGATATTTGCTGCAAAAGGGACATAGTATCTTTAACAAACTTGTTATAATTTAAATAAAAAAAACCTATGTAGGGCCTGTTTATATATACATGTAAATATGTTATATAGACCATAGGCGCCGGAAGTGGGGGGGCAGGGGGGGCAGTTGCCCCCCCAGTCAAAAAAGTGGGGGGGCAAAACGCATTTTTGCCCCCCCAAAACGCCCCCCCCCCCTCCAAAAAAAAAAAAAAAAGCAGTAAAGGAATAAACATGGTTTGTATTTTTAACCCAAAAGAACATAACAATAATAAAAACCTGAATTAAAGCACATATACCATTCCATTCAAAGAAAAGGAAAGTTCACAGGAATTAAATTTTTATAAACATTGCGCATGCTACCTATACGGTTTATAATAGCGATACGCGCATATCGTGGACATATTGTGCGAGAATGGGAAAACGTGTCTGTTTTTTTGGTTTTGTTATAGGGGTGAGAAGACATGAGCCCCTGAACGCTGGCGTACTGATGGGGGGGGGGGGGGGGTATATCTATACGATACCAGTGATTTACACATGTTGCTGTTATGACATGATTTTCCGGTATTTTTTCTCCATTTTTTTTTAAGTCATACCTTTTTATGCGTTTGTTGGAAAATAAGAAATTCCCAAATTACAGTCGGGCGAAAAATACGCTTATTTAGAAGCCTTTATGACATGGTCTGCAAAGTGGCTGGGCTCGAGCCCCTCCCCCCTCACTTTTTGAAAAAGTATGTTAAAGAGAAAAAGAAAGAAAGACGGAGAGAAAAAATTAGTGACCTGCCAATGTCACAAATAAGGCATAAAAAATGCTCATCTGACCGTAATTAAATGCCTAAAACCCCAGAGCTTACGGGTGCTCCGCCCCCGGACCCCACCAAGGGCCCTAAGGCGGGCCCCTGGATGCTCATCTGACCGTAATTAAATACCTAAAACCCCTGAGCATCCGGGGGCTCTGCCCCCTGGACCCCACCAAGGGCTCTAAGGCGGGCCCCTGGATGCTCATCTGACCGTAATTAAATACCTAAAACCCCTGAGCTTCCGGGGGCTCTGCCCCCTGGACCCCACCAAGGGCCCTATAAGGCGGGCCCCTGGATGCTCATCTGACCATTATTAAATACCTAAAACCCCTGAGCTTCCGGGGGCTCTGCCCCCTGGACCCCACCAAGGGCCCTATAAGGCGGGCCCCTGGATGCTCATCTGACCATTATTCAATACCTAAAACCCCTGAGCTTCCGGGGGTCCTGCCCCCTGGACCCCACCAAGTGCCCTAGGGCGGCCCCTGGTTGCTCATCTGACCGTAGTTAAATACCTAAAACCCCTGAGCTTCCGGGGGCTCTGCCCCCTGGACCCCACCAAGGGCCCTATAAGGCGGGCCCCTGGATGCTCATCTGACCATTATTAAATACCTAAAACCCCTGAGCTTCCGGGGGCTCTGCCCCCTGGACCCCACCAAGGGCCCTATAAGGCGGGCCCCTGGATGCTCATCTGACCATTATTCAATACCTAAAACCCCTGAGCTTCCGGGGGCCCTGCCCCCTGGACCCCACCAAGTGCCCTAGGGCGGCCCCTGGTTGCTCATCTGACCGTAGTTAAATATTAAAACCTCTGAGCTTCTGGGGGCTCCCCCCCCCTCTGGAACACGTCAATGGCCTTAAAGAGGCCCCTGGATGCTCATCTAACCGTAATTAAATACCTAAAATCCCTGAGCTTCCGGGGGCTCAGCCCCTTGACACCCTGCCGAGGCTGGACCCCACGCCAATTTACGCTCTACCTGATCGTTAATACTTCACTTTGAAAAACGTTCCGCGGGACCTGCATGTAACGTGTAAGACTGGTGGTGATGCAGATTTTTCGTCTGCCCCCCCCCTTCCGAACGTTTTTTCTCATTACGTCACTGCCCTCGGAAGGTGAGCCCCCTGGAATGTTTGCCCCCCCAATCCCAAACTGCTTCCGGCGCGCCTGATATAGACCTCTGCTCTTGCAGCTGAGTCTAGAATAAAGTCTTGGATTAATTTAAATATTATTTATTATTATGTTGAAATAATGATGTTTGCGTTTTGTAAGCCTGTTCATTTTTGTGTCTTTGTGGTACTAAAACAATCGACAATCATTCGACCCTTTAGGCTTTACTGGGTAGCTATAATCAGATAGATTGTAATTTGCTATTCTGGACAGTAGTCAATTTCCCATATATAACTGTGTTTTCCCCTAGACTTGAGGTCAACTCCCAAACTGACAGAATTATTCGCTGTCATGAAGTAGGATATATATCGCCCTCTATTTTAGCCATGAAACCCGTCACGTCATAGACTGCCGTGCTATTTAGGATAAATAGCCTATATGGAAGTTTGGTAGCAATAATACACGCAAGTCTATGACACTTTATGAACTTCCTGGAACTATGCATAGCGTTATGTGTATAATGTCTGTGTGTGAATTGCCTATCGGCGACTTCTGACTTTCCGTAAGTCAAGTTTTCACGTCCAATTTCGTCGCGATTTCTTTGCCGATGAGGGTATCTCGATAATTCCACGAGAGAGGATTTAATGAACTACGGGATTTTCTGGTTCTCTGAAAGTGGAATTTAGTCAAACTTTTCCGAACCCATCTCGGTCGGACGGACGATTGCGTGGAAAAGGGTTCGTCAAAAATGATGGCGGCCCAGGACGATAAGGCCCCGTTTGATGATAGCAATAAACATTTGTAAGTTGATTTAATTTTACGAAATAAATAAAAATGACCATCATCACTTAGCACCATGTAATTTTAAAGTATCACCTATCAATTCATCATCGTATTTCAAAGATTTGAGTTGTGAGATGATGAAAAACATCGGATATGTTGGGTGATGTCAAGCAGGAAATTCGTTCACACCCATAATGCAGTTAAAATTGGTGTAGTCCCACGCTATCAAATTTGTGTTGGTGAGATGAAACGTAAACTTTTGTTAACTGTGTGTGCGTGAGTCCCTGCTTGCTCCCTGATTTTAAATTGGCATGCAGAACATTTAGTTTGGCTATTTCCTTTAAAATTGTTAATGTTTTATTTTAATAATTAAAAACTGTTGGCAGGCCAGGTCAGGCAGGACTCTGTCTCCGTTGCCATCTCAGCTCGGGGCAGTGCCAGTGCGAGTCTATTCATTTTTTCTATCACTCGGTATCACATTTGATTTGATGGAAATAAACAATTGCTCCATGGTATTTTTGATAAAATATGGAATGAGATATTTGTAGTAAAGCAAAAGTCTGCAATAGATCTAGATCTAGAGATTAGACCAACTTTGACCATGGATGCATGCTGTTGTTTGTATTTCCAGACGTAGACTCTACCTGATTTTTGTATGCATGACATAATTAAAATTACTTGCTCCAATCCTACTCCTAGGCTCCCCCCTTCTCTCACATGGTGCAACCGTAAGCCTACTGTATATCTACATCACCATGCAAGCTGATACTTATAAGCAGCATCTATACATCATGTAGGCCTAGTAACATAGTTGGTGTACGAGTCACTACGACGCGACGTGGACCAAGTTTTTTGTGGCTATTTTTATTAGCGAACTCGATTGAGATGGAGCTTATTCATGATAATATAAAATTTGGAAATCCTGGTAAACCAAGGAATAACTGAATTATTAGGGAACAAATGAAAGTCTGAATTAATTTGTAATAATTGATCGTAACATTTTGTAATAATTGATCGTAATATTTTGAAATAATTGATCGTAAGATTTTGAAATAATTGATCGTAATATTTTGTAATAATTGATCGTAATATTTTGTAATACTTGATCGTAACATTTTGTAATATTTTGTAATAATTGATCGTAAGATTTTGAAATAATTGATCGTAACATTTTGATGCCTTTCTCTGCTCCCTTAGATGGCACTTTGGTGGTATCACCCGATCGGAGACGGACAACCTCCTGATCCAAAAACGACCCGGGACTTTCCTGGTGCGTGACAGCAGGACGTGTCCAGGCGACTCAGTGCTGTGTGTTAGGTAATACAGGGTCTGAGGAGTCGGGCTAATTCGGACCCAGGGACAACCTCGGCCCCAATGCAAAAACAGTTAGTTTTTGCAGGTTAGGGTTAGAATTAGAATTAGGGTTAGGGCCAGGGTTAGGGTAAAATGACAAAAAACTGACCGATTTTGCATTGGGGCCGAGTTGTCCCGGGTTCGAGTTAGTCCGGATCCGATCTGAATATGAATGAGTTTTATTTCACCCAATTGGTCGTACATACCTTCGGTCCCATGCAGGCAACCTTTTTTCCCTTCCCCTCTCATACTGTGTTTGCACAGTTAAAGGGGAAGTCCACCCTGATATTATGTTGGTTTTGATAGAAGCAGAGAAATGAGAGGAACAAGTCAGTGACAGTTAGTTTTCAGAGCAAATTCTCTGCTTAAAAATAAAAAAGTAATGAATTTTTAAAATTCCGATCGATCAAACACAAATTGTCAGCACTGTTTTCTATTTTCCCTTAAGAAAAATTATATGATACATGCACCCTAAATATGATTAATATATTTTTATGCCTCCGTTACGAAGTAGCCGGAGGCATTATGTTTTCGGGTTGTCCGTCCGTCCGTCTGTACGTACGTACGTCTGTACGTACGTACGTACGTCCCGTTCTCGTGATCGCGTTATCTGAAGAACCGATTGATGGATTCCTGCCAAACTTTGGTCATGTATGTATCTTGCAGAGCCGATGAACTGATTAGATTTTGGGGTTACGATGTCAAAGGTCAAAGGTCACAGGGCTCATTATGTATGCAAAAACAGCTCGTGATCGCGTTATCTGAAGAACCGATTGATGGATTCCTGCCAAACTTTGGTCATGTATGTATCTTGCAGAGTCAAAGAACTGATTAGATTTTGGGGTCATGAGGTTAAAGGTCAAAGGTCACAGGGCTCATTATGTATGCAAAAACAGCTCGTGATCGCGTTATCTCAAGAACCGAGTAATGGATTGCTGCCAAACTTAGGTCATGTATGTTACTTGCAGAACCGATGAAGTGATTAGATTTTGGGGTCACGAGGTCAAAGGTCAAAGGCTACAGCGCACATTATGTATGCAAAAACAGCTCGTGATTGCGTTATCTCAAGAACCGATTGATGGATTGCTGCTAAACTTAGGTCATGTATGTTACTTGCAGAGCAGATGAACTGATTAGATTTTGGGGTCATGAGGTGAAAGGTCAAAGGCCACAACGCACATTATGTATGCAAAAACAGCTCGTGATCGCGTTCTCAAGAACCGATTGATGGATTCCTGCCAAAATTAGGTCATGTATGTTACTTGCAGAGCCAATGAACTGAGTAGATTTTTGGTTCATAAGATCAAAGGTCAAAGGTCATGGGCTCATTATGTATGCAAAAATAGCTTGTGAACACATTCTCATTAGAACTGACAGATGGATTACTATTTAACTCAGGACATCTTGCAGAGCCAATGAACTGAGTAGATTTTAGGGTCATGAGGTCAAAGATCAAAGGGTCATATATGTATATGAGAAATTGCTTGTAATCACGATATTCTGAGAACCTGTTAATGGATTACAATTGAACTTGAATTCGAAAAATGTCTTCTGTTTTGGTTTGTAAAATTGCTCTATGACGGAGGCATCATTTTCGACTGCGCGCAGTCGAATTCCATCTAGTTCGATATAACACCGGTATGATCTGTTCCGGTCATATTCTGCTTCTATTAATACCAACTTAATATCAGGGTGGACTTCCCCTTTTAAAGAGTAAAGGGTCAGGATTCACAACAGGTAATGTTGATTAATTTGGTCGTATGCTAACAATATTTACTGTCTATTTTACAGTGAAGTAATATCATTTTAGTATCTCATATTATGACAAGGAAAAAAAAAAAACGAACCAGTTTGTGATACATGTACATGTAAATTATTAGATTTGTAGGAAGCTTGTACAGATTGAATCCATTAAACGTAGGCTCTAGCCGTTCATGTCAAATGAAAAACTAAACTATCAATTAACTTTGTAATGTATATCTAATATTATATATATCTCTCTCTCTCCCTCCCTCTTTTTGTATCTCTCTCTCTGTGTTCTTATCCTTTTCTCTACAGTGAAAATAGTAAGGTATCTCATTATATCATCACGAGGAAAGCGGATCAGTTTGTGATCGGTGATCAGATTTTCTCTACGCTACCTGACATTCTGAACTTCTACCGAGGTCACTATCTAGACACTACCGTCCTAGTCGAACCGGTAAGTAATTCTTCAGACTCTTCCAAGAATTTGTAGACGAAAAAATGCATTGACATAAAAAGAAGATAATATGCCGTTCTTGTATAGCACATCACATTATGATATGACCTCTCTATGGATATTATTACCCTAGCCTTAGCTCCGGCAACTGTAGCGCTCGGAGCATTCAAGGAATCAATCCTACCAGGTACCGACTTACTACACCTGGGTGGAGTGTGGCAAACGTAGTTATAATGTCTTGCCGAAGGACAGTGCTATGGTGGGATTCGAACCCTGTACATTGTGGTTCATAGTCCGGAGACCTATCCACTAGACCAAAAACCTCTATATCTATTCTGCTAGGGATACAGGGTCCTGTTTCATAAAACTTGTTATCAATAACGAATACTATATTCAGGCCTTAAAAAATAAATCATTTTTAGGGCAAGGCCAGTTTGGCCTTAGAGTACCTCATATTTTTAAGGGCACCAAGGCCAAAATATTTTTACAAAAAGGCCATCAAGTATGAGGCAAAAAAAAAATTGATTCTATTTTTGTTAGATGTCATGTGTATTTTATGAAACTTGTGCGGGATCAATTTCCCATGACTTTTAGCACCAGCTTCTTCACAGAATGTATAGAGGTCTACGGTACATACAAACAAGGCGGCGGCCCGCAGGCCTTAGGCTTAGATTAAGCAGCCAGGAACAAGGGGCAATTTTTTTTTTTAAGTTGCCCCTTGCCAACAGGAATTTACCAGTGCAAGGGGCAATTTTCCAAAAACAGATAGCCCCCTAATCTAATTATAAGTTTAAAGATACAATGTTAATTTCATAATGTGAATAGGCCTAGAACGATCAATTTAATAACTTTTTAATCTTAACAATATGAACAGGAAAGATTGATTAAGAACATTAAACTTGCACATTAAACAGTATTTTAAAGTAACTAAAAATATTGATGAGCAAATGAATAAATAAATTGTCAGTTTCACAAACATCGAAAGTCAGAAGGACTTGGCAAGTTTACCGGGTATCCCAAATCGAAATCGCACCTCACACGCAAACCTTCCGCCACACTCTCGGTAGAAGGAGCAAATATGAAGAAATTATCTTTTTAACTGTTGTATAGTCTAGGCCTAACCAATGAAATAAGATGTAAAAATGTCCTTAGACATTCGACAGCTGAAAGTGACATGCTCAGCTCAGTTGCGTAACGTGCGTTCACGAAACCAAAATCGTTCCTCGCACACACACTCTCGCCACTCTTGGTGGGAAGCTGTCGGCCTGGAAGTTTGCCAACGAAACCGATGCACCTTCGGAGATTCGCAGCGCGTAAGTGTACCGTGACTCAAAACGTTCATCGTGGGAAGCTGGCGGGGTAGCTTTTTGCCAAAACGAAGCTAGGTCGGCTGGTGGCAAAATGAGAGTAACTACGATCGAGAACATCGTAGGTGTTCTTAACTTTTGCTTATTAATAAGATAATTCTAAATTCTATTTGAGATGAAATAATAAACTAGACCTACAAACAAACCTAGACAGATCTCTAATGACTATTTGAATGCTTGTTTATTTCTCCATTTGACGATTTGTTTTCTTGATCCTGGCCTTCGATTTGTACGTACGTACGTGCGTCCACAGCATGCACCATATCAAGTGATCGCATGAACGTACGTACGTGCGCTAGAGCATAGCCTATATATAACAAAGGGCGCATTTTCACGGCACTTGCACCTTATTAAAGCACTAAATACGAAGCTAGTAGAGAGCTAGTAGAGAGCTCGTGGGCGGCAAACTGTGCCTTTCATGTATTTTTACTGTTCTAATAATTTAAGGGCGCATTTTCACGGAAAACACTTGCGCCTTGCCGTCTAGTTTTAGGAGATTATGGGCGCAATTGGTGGTTTTATGAGCGCAAATTTCAAAAAAAGGGCACATCCAGTTGGAAAAAGAGGCACGTCGGCCAGTTTTTGGCCGTGAATTTATCTTTTTTGGGGAGGGCATCACGGCCAGTCATAGGGGCATCGATGGCCTGGTCGTCGATGGCCGTCGATTAATTTAAGGCTTGTATATTTCTATAACAAGTTCGCTCTCAACCAATCAGATTGTCACAATTTCAGTGGCTTATAACAGTTATTGTAGCATGTTATCGATAACATGTTTTATGAAACAGGGGCCCAGTGCAATTTCCTATTGTACAGGGCCAAGTTTTAATTAAACTTGTTATCAATAAAAAATACTACATTTTTATAACAAATTCGCTCTCAGCCAATCAAATGCCATGATTTCAGTAGCTTATAACGGTAAATGTACATGTAACTTGTTATTGATAACAAGGTTTATGAAACAGGGCCCACAACCAAACAACATAGGAAGGACAAGTTTCCGATGAGGCTATGTACATGTAGTATGGAAACTTTCTCTTGAAGTGCAACAACCTTCAGGCAGTAGTGTTGTTACTTAAAGGTACTATGTCCCATTTGCAGGCCAAAAAAATGAAAAAGTTAAATTCCAACTGCATTTGAAAGATAATACTAATTTAGAACTTCCCTAAAACAGGTGGGGCTTGAAAATGTCTTCAAGTGGGAAAATAACGACTATTAGTTGTCAAATCGACTTTAGGGCTATAGAGCCCAAAAGTTATAGTCTTGATTTTCAGACAATTGTACCTAATGGTCATACGTTTTATGCTGCGCAAAGATTCAATCAGTTTAATCTTGGCCATCACAAGAAGTGGGTTATTGATGTAGAAAAATGCTCATGTACCCTTTACAACTCTTATCATGTACTGTATGTTCTTACCAAAGAAGAAAAAAGCCAGTCAGTCACTCAATAGTGTCTGACAGTGAAGTCTAGCAAGTAAACAGGTTTCCTTGCAAAATTTGAATATGAGGACACTGCTAACGTTTAAATTTCACAAATAGGACATAATTATATGACATATTCATAATTCCTGCAAAGTTCTACAGCATTTGAGGTTGGCTGCAAAAGGGACATAGTACCTTTAATTAAAGACTTTGGTGAGACTGAATAAATACTATATATACATGTACAGTATATGCTGTATTACTTCTTGAGATGTCACTTCCAAGAATATTAAAGCAACAGTGATTTATAGCATTAATATAATGACAATAAAACGGTGCTTATGAAGTGCTTCCCACCAAAGTCTTTAAGTGCTTTTTCATTAAAAACTTCACAATTGATACATACATAACAACACAGAAATTTTCCCTTCTAAAGGTTCCTGGTATAAATTTCTTTCACTGGTGTTAATGTAAATTCACAAAGATCATTAAAAGGCACTTAAAGTAACAGAAAATGAGAGAGCACATACATGTCAGAGCCGTCGCTTCTAAGAAGCACCTCTTTACTGAGTCGATAAAAAAAAGTGTCATGTCAGTACTTTCCTCATGAATCTGAACCAACGTTTAAAGGCACAAACATGGCACTGTCTCAAGAAACTTGTTATCAACAAACAACTAGTAACAATAATGGAAGCTACTGAAACCATGGCATTGTATTGGCTGTCAGATGAGTTGTTTAAAGGCCAACTGCACTACTTGTAGCTACTTGCGCCCTCTATATAACAAACCATGCCTAATCGGTGACCATTGGTCCCCCATGATCCTCTTTTTATTATGTTAACTGAGAGCTGAGTTGATGAGATAACCACCTGTCCAGTGACCTTGCAGGGCAGTCTAATCCCTCCTGTACACTATGGCAGATACGCTTTAAGAATAGAAGACTTAATTTTTTTAGCAGGCCATATTGAACTATTCAATTCAGTGTGCTGATTAAGTATTAGGCTCAGCTACATGTAAGTAAGAATTCCTAACCGAAATCATTAATATAATTGTGTCTTTTAAGTGCAGACAACAAATAAAAGGGAAAGCAGAAATTTTTGTTAAATTGATCCAGTATTTTCTTTGTGCACAGGACAAATTTAAAGTATCAATTTATCAAATAACATTGAACTCTCCACAGAAAACTAGGAATCAATTTGAGTTTCAGTTTCAGGGATCAATTGTATTTATTTTTTAGATGCAAGCTCCATGAAGTAGGATTGCTTCATCAACATATGATGTTAAAGGGGAAGTCCATCCTAATATCATTTTGGTTTTAATAGATGCAGAGAAGTGAGAGGAACAGGTCAGTTAATGTTTGAGCAAAATCTGATTAAAACTAAGAGAGTTATAGATGAATCATATGCAAATTGGCAACTCTGCGACATATCTCTCCCATTTAATCTGCACCCCTCAAAAAAAAAAAAAAAAAAAAAAAAAAAAAAAAAAAAAAAAAAAAAAAAAAATCAGAATTTTCTATTTTCTCTATAGTTATTGCAAATATGTTTTTATACAACCCCTGTATTTAACAAATCTTATTACATCATCAATCAATAACTACCGGTAAGAAAATGAAATTTATGAAATGTGTGTACAGAGCGAATTGGAATTTGTCTACTATAAGACCACCTGTCTACAAAGACCACTTTCTGTGTTTCCCTTGGGCGGTCGATATCTAGACAGGATTGAATGTTCATTGCACATGTACACACTCATACATGTTTCCATGACGTGGGCACTAATCCAGTCCATCTGTATTCTTTTATGCACAGTTTGTACGTGGATGTACAGTACATGGCCTATGTCATCACACCTTGTTCACACAGAACTCATTTTCATGTAATTTCCTTACTTGCCAAGCAATCAAGCATGGTTTTTTTGTGTATTGTCCAGGCAGTGGGGATTCCCCTCTCTGTCTTTTAATAGCAGCATGGAACACGCCCATGGCATATTTACAACCTTTCATAAAACGGGCGTTAATCCAACATCTCTCTCATCATGGAATACACCTTTGTTTCTGTTTCAGGTGTAAATTAAGGACTCGTTTGTACACATACCAGTTTCTTTTTACATGTTTGAGGACACACACGTTTGTAGGAATATATAACATTCTGTGGACGATATAGAAATTTACTGCATAACTGTGGACCTTTAATATATACATGTATGCACTCTATGAAGTTCAAAGAAATCCTTAACAACTAGAGTCCTAGATGCTTGAAAACTTAAAGAATTCATACACGAATAAGTACTTTTTCCAAAAACTGGACATTTCTTTTCTGGTGTAATTTGAGGACTCGTTTGTACACGTACTAGTACACGTATCTATTTTTTGAGGACAAACACGTTTGTAGGAATATAACATTCTGAGGACAATATGGAAATTTACTGCTTAACTAAGAACCATTAATATACATTTTCTGTGCCAAGGGAGCACCTAAATAAACACCCCTTTATACATGTACAATGTCAAAGGAGGTGCACACCCTCTTATTTCTTGTTTGTTCGATCTTATGTTTGATCCTATGTTTGACCTCATGTATGTTTGATCTCACTCTTATTTTTATTATTATATATGCATGATTTATTGAATAAAGAACAGATGTAATAGTTGTGTGTTTATTATAAGCTATGGTAAATATTTATTTAGTCAGAATATGGTGCGCTTAGAGACACCAGTATTAAGCGCCTAATGAATATTGTGTATTATTATTATTATATATTTACAAATATATATAATATGGAAGGCCCCCAAATTTTAAGCAATTTACAGGGTTTTCGAACCAAAGACCTGTTACATGTAGTCTGTGTGTTGTCGTCAAAATGAAGGTACGCCCGGTACAATGTTGTCCATGGTTTGTTATTGTAGACAGATATGCACAACATGTACATGTACATGTACCGGTATGTGTGACCTGACACATCACACCCTGTTTACACATGATCTCCTGGCTTTGGCATGATTTCCTATTGCTTTGTGTGATGTCTCAAGGTTCTTCTTTAATAGCGAGTGTGAACAGATCCCTCTCATTAACTGCACAACCCTGAAGTAATCAGGCTGTGTGCCAAAACGGATTAATGCTCAGCGGAAATTAGTCTACATGTTCATTGGAAGTGTAACGTTAGACTTACTGATAATATCCTGCTGCCCTCGTTTGGCTGTCTGAGCCTCTCTCTCTCTCTCTTCCTCTTACCTCCCTTTCTTTCGCTCTCTCCTTATCTACAGTGTACCGGTATGTCTTTCTCTTTCCCTCTCTCTCCTTATCTAGATGTCTTTCTCTCTCCCTCTCTCCTTATCTAGATGTCTTTCTCTATCCCCCTCTCTCTCTCTCCTTATATAGATGTCTTTTTCTCTTCCCCCCCTCTCTCTCTCTCCTTATCTAGATGTCTTTCTCTCTCTCCTTATCTATAAATTATGTCTTTCTCTCTCTCTCTCTCTCTCTCTCCCTCTTTCATATACATTTTCAAGTTAATGCATTGACATTTTTCACAATGTGAATGGGTCATGTCAGTGAAAGTCAGTGTTAACAGGATCTGTACAAGTCACTGCGTTAAACTTTATTTAAATTCACCTGAATTTACATTTTCAAGTTTATGCATTGACGATGTTTACAATGTGAATGGGGCATGTACATGTACATCTGTTATGATACAGTACACGAATGTACATGTACATGTAGATATGCATACACCTTGTGACCACTTCACACTGACATTTTCAAGTTTATGCATTGACTATGTCTACCATGTGAAATGTGAATGGGGCATGTCGATCTGATATGATACAGCACACGTACACATATGTACACGTAGATACACCTTGTGACCACTTCACACTGACATTTTAATCCTATATTAATCCTAACAATGTTCGTTCCTCCTCTACCTGCCAGTGTCCCAAGAACAGGATGGTTCAGCCTCCTCCTCAGCTCCCAGTATCATCACCACCGGTAGGTAAAGGGGGATTCCCCCACCCTTCCCCATCATACCTTGCATGCATGGAGCATCTGTGAGTGTGTGTGTGTGTTTGCATGGCATGTAAATGGCTTTCTCATTGGCTATCAGGCTATCGCAGTGTGAAAAATACTTTTCTGTTTGCGGGAGCTATTTTATGATTTGGTGCTGCAAGAGCAATTTTCTTACAGTGATATTGAAAGTATTACATCGTTTTTTACCAGAGCATTTTTTTCAATTTACATAAGCACCCCCTTTGGAGCTTTCAATTCTCAAGAGTTAATTTGCTTGGGTGTTTTTTTGTGATTTTTTGTTTGTTTGTCATTGCTGGGCTACTCTGATTAGTCTGCAGACACAGACTCTCATTTGATACTTCAACACAATTTCATAAAGTCTTGAGCAGAGCCTTCATGTATACGTAGCTTGGTCAGTCTCTGGCTGCATGTAAAACACAGAGCCTTTGTGGAGCACTAGACTATTCAGTCTACATTCATCATAGAGGCTGTTCACACCGGCAGAGATAGCGCGCGCTATCTCGCGCTATCTCTGCGGTTTGGAAGGTACAACGTCGTTTCGGTCCGCCCAACAGCAAGCCACGGCGAGCCAAATCGGCGTGCCACTGGAGCACCTCTTGGGGGTGGTCCACGAGAGATAGCGCGGGCTAGAAAACAGGGGGTGCTACGATAGACCGCGCTATCTCATTGCGGTGTGAACAGCCTCATAGTCTCTTATAAAAATAAAGATCTCATGCCTTAATAGTAATTGTTTCAGCCACTGTTATGCACTAGAATTTGACTTGAATTCACATTTATGCAATTATCTTATGAAATTCATGTAAAATAGTTTTAAAGCAAATGCCTTTAATTTGCAAATAAAAAAGTTCACCAAAGACCTTCTTCTTTCTTTTGCTGCTTTTAGTTTGAACATCTAATGTGGCTATGTTGTGTTTTGCATGTCTCGTGCTATTAATTATAAAAAAATACATACCATACGTGTATACAGGTATACCCCGTATTATGAAATTGTGCATGCATGCATTTTTGTTTGTGTGGCTTGAATAACATGTCTGCAAAACGTTATAAATGGTACATTTATTGTAAGAACTTGGGAAGCTCCAGAAAAAATGCATCAAAAGCTACAAGCACATTTTGTTTCCTTCTACATTTTTTCTTCTTTTCGCTATTGCTAAAAGTAACTCAAAATTGCTGAATTAAGAAATAAAACACTTTTTGATGTACAAGTGCACATACTTTATCAGCAGCTTTATCACCATCCTCTTGCATTATTGAAGAAAAACACTCTTTTTCAGGTGCTACCTGTACAGTATATATCGTCGCTGTTTTCACGAAGTGACGGTAGTGAAAAAAAATTGCATTCACTTTGCGTTACGATTTTCCTCACTACCGTCACTTCGTGAAAACAAGGACGATATGTACTTGTCCAGGGGGTGTTTCACAAAGATCCTAAGTAGAACTAAACACTAAGTTAGACTTACAAATTATGGACAGCCATTAGAGCCTTAAAATTAAATATATTCAAAAGCAGAAATTCAAGTATTTTAGACTTTTTTTTTTATAAATTCCACATCAAGAACATGAAATCTCCTTGATGATAGAAAATATGAATGATTTAAATCAACATTTTATGCCTTTCAAAATAACTTTTACAAAATATTTTCAAAGATGCTAACGGCTTTCCATAATTATTAAGTCCAACTTAGAGATAAGTTCAACTTAGAATCTTTGTGAAACACCCCCCAGAAACAATCAATCATTTTGATAAATGGAAATATGACTACCGGTCTATTTTGGTAAGAGTATTGGTTATCAATTTACAGCTTTGATTTAACAGTACAAGTAGAGTATGACACAGAATCTTTTAAGCAGATTATTTGTTCTGCATCGACCCCCAAAACAAAACAAAACAAATCAAAAATCAATCATATCACACCTATTATTAAAGTAAAGACCAATCGATTGCCTTATGTACCAATTCAGTAACTCTTTGAATAGCTCTGTTTCGTTTAGTTGCACTTGTCTAATTGTCTGTATTGCCAATTTAAAGGCCCACTGCACTACTTGTAGCTACTTGCGCCCTCTATATAACAAACAATGCCTAATCGGTGACCATTGGTCCCCCATGATCCTCTTTTTCTTATGTTAACTGAGAGCTGAGTTGATGAGATAACCATCTGTCCAGTGACCTTGCAGGGCAGTCTAATCCCTCCTGTAAACTACGGCAGATAAGCTTTAAAGAGGAAGCTACAGAATAAAAAGAAAAAAGAGGAGCTACAGTGTATATAAAACTGAGAGCCCTTTAAGAGGAATCTGTATTTGTTGACAAATATTGTTACCATAGATACACAGCACAGTGATTAGAAAATGTAAAAATCCCTAGTATCTGCTTGTGCATTTAACATTTGAAGCATTTTAGTTATTTAGTTATTTTAGTTATTTTAGTTTTAGTTATTAATTTTTTTTTGCGTAGCCTAATCTGTTGTCTTGCCATCATGCCTTTTGCAAACCCGGATATGTAGTATCTGAGATTCGCATCTGAAGCACACAATGTGTACATTATTATTCTAGGCCTTATCATTGCATCGCATGTGAATGTATGTGTATGCATGGAACCTTTGAAAATTTCATACAAATATTTGCACAGGTCCGATTCTACCCTGAGATTCTGATCTTTTCAGGCACATTGCGACACACTCTCTATATTTGCATGTACTTGTACTTGTAATTGTGCTATTTTGGGCTGAGGTTACAATGTCAGTGTTGCAAAAAATCTTTTTTTTTGTTCTTCCTCATGTGATGATGTCATAGGGGAATTCCCCTGTCGTGCACTGAGACCTACATTGTATATTTAGCCCATACAGTTTAGATGTAGACATTCTAGCATAAATGTTACATGTACACGAATAAAGCTCACGCCTTTGCCTTTTTTCATTATTTTTTCATTAGTATTATTATTCTTTGTTAAATAATAATATACTGCACATATTACAAATTAAAAAAAAGAATTGTGGCAAAGTGAGGATTTAATGTTGCTTGAAAATCATCTTTGTGCATCTTTATTTTTCTTTTTTTTCATTTGCTTTGTTTTCTAAATCCTTTACCTCAACTCATGACCCAACTCTAAATAGCTAGAAAACATGTTTGTGTACATGCACATGGTACCTTTAACCCTTTCATGAAATTTATTTTTATAAAAAAAGGGTTAAATTGATCACATGTTGTTTTTCAAATTGGTAACAACAATATTTTTCTTTTAAAGCTAAGTCGTTCAAATAAAATGCAATGTTTCTGAAAACTTAATAATGCATATTAGTAATATTTTTTGGAGAAGTTAAAAAATTACAAATTTTATAGAAAATAACGATCTTGAACCCCACAGCATGTCGTTAATTTGAGAATTTTAAGGCTCACAATCCTTTTGATAATTCCTGGCCTGTAACCCAATGTGGTCAGTGAACAACAATAGGCATGTAGCGTGTGCAGAAATTTGTGCCTTTTCTTTTCTTTTCATAATGTTTCCCCTACATGTACCTAGCACCAATTAATGTACCGGTATGCATTTTGGCTATTGAAATCCAATTGTTCATAACAGGTTAATGAAATAATTTGTAAATGGGCATTTAACAAAGATTTGTGCATTAAATTTGATTACGTTACGAAAATGTTCAATTCATACATTACCAGCAAAAAAATATATGGGGGCTCAGGGCGCAGTAGCCACCAAAATGCCAAAAAGAGCCCCCAAAAGTCATAAAAGGCCCCCAAAAGGCCCCCAAAAATTTGCATAAAGTTCAATGCAAAACAAATTTAAGATTGATGTTTTCATGCAAGCAAGCTTGAAAAGTAGCCCCCGAAATGTTTTAAATATGTTTTTCCCTGACTACCAATAAGCTATTAAACTGTTTTGTCTTTTGAATGGTCCAGTTGAACGAGAGAAAACCGCCCACACCGAACCCGGATGTTCCTCCTGTCACTCCTATACCGCCACCTGCCATCGTCAGCAATGCAGAGAGATTCAGAGTTAAATATGACTTCTCAAGTGAGGTGAGTACTGTATCCTAACCCTAAACCTAAACTCTACCCTACGGTTGCTGGAGCCTAGTTAAATAGTTACCAGCCTAAACTGTAGTTAGTTACCAGCTAGTTAGCAGCTAGTTAGCAGCCTCGCTAATCCTCAGCAATGCAGAGAGATTCATAGTTGAATATGACTTCTCTAGTGAGGCAAGTATCTTAACCTTAACCTTAAACCTACGGTTGCTGCAGCCTAGTTAAATAGTTACCAGTCTAGTTAGTTTTTGGCTAGTTAGCAATGCAGAGAGATTCAGAGTTAAACATGACTTCTCTAGTGAGGTGAGTATCCTAACCTTAACCCTAAACCTACGGTTGCTGCAGCCTAGTTAAATAGTTACCAGTCTAGTTAGTTTTTGGCTAGTTAGCAATGCAGAGAGATTCAGAGTTAAACATGACTTCTCTAGTGAGGTGAGTATCCTAACCTTAACCCTAAACCTACGGTTGCTGCAACCTAGTTAAATAGTTACCATCCTAGTTAATTACCAGCTAGTTATCAATGCAGAGAGATTCTGAGTTAAATATGACTTCCCGAGTGAGGTAAGTATCCTAACTCTCTTAAACCTAACCCTATGGTTGCTGCAGCCTAGTTTAATAGTTACCAGCTAGCTAGATAGTAATATTAATTAATTAAAAAAATTGATAAATGGGGGAAGAGTAAGGGGGAGGAGTATAAAGTATGTGCCTTCCAAGAGGGAGGCAAACAAATGAACTTAAATGTATAATGGTCATTTAGAGTGAAATGCAACACATTTGCATGGAAAAGTGGGACTTCTATCAGTTGCTACGGGGATAACAAAAGCAGGAGTTTTAATATGGTTGCTTGGCAGGATGTCTTGTGGTCTATGGCACCCGGAACTTTCAATTTCAAGCCCATGTGTGGTTGGAATAGCATCTGTTTGGAGCCAGAAGGGCATTAAATCATGAATATACAGATGTACTTTAAAGTTCCACGGCACTACTAGATACTTGTGCCCTCTATATAGCAAACAATGCCTAATTGGTGCCTGTTGGTCCCCCATGATCCCCTTTTTGATGAGATAGCCACCTGTCAGTGACCTTGCAGAGAGGTCTTATCCCCCCTGATCACACTAGTGATGTACTTTAACATAGAGTTAATGTCCTTCTGGCTCTGTCTGGCCAGGTGATATGTTCAGGAAGGTGTTTCACAAAGACTAAGATTGACTTTAAGTTGGACTTAACTATGGCAGGCTGCCATGCCACTAGTTCCTCTCACCATTCCTGGCATTGTTTTCTCAAGGGAAGTACCAATCTTTGTCACAAATCTACAGAATTTACATTTTTTGATAGTTCATTATTGAAGGGAAAAAAATATTATCTAAAGATCATAATTGAGAGACCAATGATTTGAGGAGGGAGTTGGCTCAGTCGGTAAAGCGTCTGCCTGTCGAACCAAAGATCCCGGGTTCGACTCCTACCCAGGCGGATGACTGAAGCCTGCGTTGTGTGTTAACGTGCCCCTTCCCTTGTTCATAGATGCAGGTTATGTCAAGTGGAAAACACTCCGTCCCTCGGATAGGACATTAAATGGAGGCCCCATGTACAGGAGAGTCACAACCCTTGCACATTAAGAACCCATTGCACTAATCGTATAAGAGAGGGGGAAACCCCGGTGTAATGGTCCACCTGCATACCCCAACCAGGCCGAGTATACGGCATCTGCAAGAATCTTCAGTATTGAAGGAGGCAGATTATCTTGAAGAAGAAGAAGAAGAAGAGAGCAAACAGTGGCGTGAATGGCCTGCCATAATTAAAGTCGATCTTAGTCTTTGTGAAACACTCCCCTGTTCCTTCCTATGTAGCTTCAAAAGCAAACTATTCAAACATAGAACAGGAAAACAACATATTCGCTGTAAACGATTCTGAAAGTCACACTCCATGCAACACTTAGCATGATGATGTACTTTTCTATAATCTAATAATCATACATACATGTAGCAAGAGAACTTGAATTTGAAACTTGAAAATAACAAATATCAAAACATAATTGAGCAGAAGAAACATGTCTGATCTACCTTGTACCTCCTTCCAGGATGTTTATAAGCACTGTTTGTTTTTGTATGGGAATTAGTAAAACCGTGTTTCCTTGCAACCGTTTCCTTTCCTACTCAATGATTGATTAGTCTGTCATTTAAGACTCTAGATTTGGAGGAAATAAATGTTTGAGTTTGGAGGGATTTGTAAGGAGCTCTTTTGATTCCTGCTAGACACACAATCGTCTGTTTGAAACTACACATGTACATGTTTACTCATGTAATATTTTCAGGTTTTTGAATTGTATGTTTCTTCTTTTTTTTTAACAAATTGCTCATAAACTTCTGTTGTGAATAAAAGTGCTGTATCCATACAGTGCAGAGGCATATATTTTCTTCTATCTTCTGCTTTTCGTCTTCATATCCAGGATGCATTGCAACATAAAAAGAACACCACCTTATTTCCCCCTCTTGTTGAGGGAGCTCTTTTGAGTTTTTCTGTGGCGTAACACTGTTTGAGTGTTTGAGATCTCTTTTCTGTGCTGATCAGACCTCGCCAGTAACATTAACAATTTTTTTTTCATAGCCAGATCGCTCATTGTTCTTTTTTCTCTCCTTTTTCTGCTAGGATGCCGATGATCTACCGGCACAGAAGAACGAGATTCTGACGTTAATTAATCGAGACGAAGCTGATTGGTGGACGATGCGCAACTCAAGAGGGCAGGAAGGCCAGTTCCCCGTACCATGGATGGAGGCTGTAAGCAGAAAATAACAAAAGAAAATTATTCAGGATTTGTTTCTTTTCCTGTTATCATGAGATTTGCACTAAAAATGAAATGATGTACATGGGGACAAACAAAAACAAAAACAACAAAATTATCATGGATGAGGAGTACATTACAGTATGAAAGTTACAGAACGAAAAAGAACTTTGAGACACTTTCTATAGAAATTCATGACTACAAATAGTTGCATTTCAAGTTCATCCTTTGGTCTGTCTTATACGATATCTCATAGGGTTATTTCACTTTCTTCTTCTTTCTCCTCAGGTATATCCCTCTGTTTATTCAGGCCTCAACTCCGTGGGGGGGGGGGGGGGGGGGGGGGTTGAGTTATTAGTTTTGAGTGTCAATGTGCATTACATCACTCTTTAATATTTTGAAATTTTGGGTTGTTCTGACTGAAAATTCTGAGGGGCGTCTGTAAAGGACCTTTGTTTAATAGTGTTGCACCTCAGTTTATTTTCATCTAATTGAATATGCCTTTTTTTTTTTTTCTTTACTCATCTTTCTCCATCTTTCTTTCTTTGACCTCTGATCTTCCTTCTATTCTCCAGCAGCTGCCGGTTGAACCACCCCCAGAGGTATACCGCACTGTCACATCGTACGGTAGAGCGACGCAGAGAAGAATTCCCAACGCATATGACACGACACAACTTAAATTTGAGGTAGGTACCAGGTGTTATCCACATACCTCATTCAAACCAGAGACCAACACCAGTCTGACTGCAGTACATTCCCCAGAATGGCAAAGTTTCAGTCAGATTGGCATTCTGACTTCTGGTATGGTATCAGGGCTTGCTCCAATGCATTACACACTGGGTGCTAATAGCGTGCCTTTGGGAACTCCAGAAATAGAAATACCAAGGGGGAAGTCCTATCTGACAAGGGTACATACATGGCACATGGGTGATATATGTCAATGTATCTTATTAGAATGTTATACCCAAAGGTATACTGCACTGTCACATCATATAGCAAAGCAGTACAGAGAAGAATTCCCAACGCATAATATGACACACAAAACTAAAATGTCCATTTCTGGAGTTCCCCCAGGCACTAAGTGTGTAATGAAACAGGTACCTAGATAACATTTTAAACACCATTCACCACCAGTCTGACGGCAGAAGGAACCATAAAGCACCTTACGCCGAATGGCTAAGTTTCAGTCAGATTGGCATTCTGACTTCTGGTATGGTATAAGGGTTTGCTCCAGCGCATTACACACTGGGTGCTAATAGCGTGCCTTGGGGAACTCCAGAAATGGAAATACCAAGGGGGAAGTCCTATTTGGCAAGGGTACTTTATAAGGGTGATGAATATCTGTCAATGAGTTAAAATACTTTGTTCTTTCTAGTCCATTCCCCCTAGTATGCTGCAGATTCAATTTACTAGGTTTGGACCAAATATAGATAATTTTTGGCAGAGAATCCTTTATTCGTCCTCTCCTTCTGTAAGATAAATATTGGCCTATGAAAAGGCCCCTTCCTTGAGCTTGGAAGTAAACAAACTTTCCCTTGAAAGTGACTTACTTGAAACATTTTTTTCAATTCATGCAATAAGTCTTCTATTCAGAGCTACGATACAATGACTTTAAATCCCATCCCCCTTGTTTGCCACACTAGACCCAGGTGAGGTAAATGGGTACCTGGTAGGATTATTCCTTTAAATGCAAAGCTAGGGTAATAACTTCCAAAGCTCTTTGGAAGCACATAGAGACGTTATATAATGTGAAATGCGCTATAGAAGAACCTAATATTATTATTATTACCATGTGCGTCGACCAATAGGCCTTGTGCGTTATTGTTCCAATTATCGAATCGAATGATTGACCGCTGCGCTGGTCCTCCCGTAGAGTATGAAACACGCTTGCTTACATTAGTTTTTATCACCTGACGAAGTGTTGCAGCGGCGCACGAAACGTTGTGATCTTTTAGATCCCTTATTGACCACATTGCGAGACAAGCGAATATCACTAGTGATATTATTTTCGATATTATTATTTTTTTTTTTTGCAGAGAGGAGACATTGTGAAAATAATCAAACAGCATATGAGCGGATACTGGGAAGGAGAACTAGTCAAAGACGGAACTCAAGGATTCTTCCCATTTACATTTGTAGAACTCCTTCCCCCGGAGGAAGCGGATAGAATAGGACAGAACGCCAGTCAAAACGGCATGGAAGGCAACAACTCTCTTCTGAACTGAGCCTGGACTCTTATCATATTATTTTTGTCGAAACCGCGACTTGAAATCGCTCGAGGAGAGAAACGTATGAACGTGCTCCTATATTATGTGTATAGTAATCATCTATAATGAACCAAGAATGAATAGATTTGTAACCGTGCAAGGAGTGATTGTGTGGAGCACTGAAGTGGTGGCAGGAGTGGGAATCGTGGAGGATCAGGGATCAGGAATGGGATCAGAAATGGGTTCAGGAACGGGATCACGGAGGATCGGACAGGAGTGGGATCATGGATGATCGGGGATCGTTATGTTGCCATTGATAAAGACACGCAAACGGGAGTTTCAGTGTGAATCGCATCACAATTCACCGACAACGAACTTGATGGCATCCTCGATGTAGCAACGAACGAATCTCGCATGCAGCGAACTTGTGATCTAACCTAAAGATCACTCAGCATCATGTCGATAAGATATTTAGAACAGCACGTGGTCCTGGCTCGGACGTGGAAAGTGCGTGGATGACTTTTCTTTATGGGGCGGTCCTTGAGAAGTGCATTGTTGAAGGACTACTCCTGGAATGCAGAAAATGAATGCAGATTTTGTAAGCCACAGCGATAGGGGATCATGCCGAAAGTGAATGCAGGAGTTGAATGCAGGAGCTGAATGCATATGAAAATGTCTTGTAGCAGGTGGATACCCAATCAGTGTCGACTCCCCATGAAAGCCAAGCTTATGTGTCTTTAAGTTGCGTCAGGAGTGGGATCGTGCATGTTGAGAGTGTTACCACTTAAACATAGCACAAAGCAGAGGGAGTTCCTTCCCAGGCAGAGTATGTCTACGGAAAGAACAATGATGATCAGCAAAGGATGTCACGAGTTGGATCTTGCCGATAGTGGATCATGGCCAAAGTGAATGCAGGAGGTGAATGCAGGAGATGAATGCAGGAGTTGAATGCAGAAAATGAATGGAGATCTTGTAAGCAACAGCGATAGTGGATCAATGCCGAAAGTGAATGCAGGAGTTGAATGCAGGACGTGAATGCAGGAAATGAATGCAGATCTTGTAAGCAACATCGATAGTGGATCATGTTGAAAGTGAATGCAGGAGGTGAATGCCGAAGATGAATGCAGAAAATGAATGCAGAAAATGAATGCAGATGTTGTAAGCAACACCGATAGTGGATCATGCCGAAAGTGAATGCAGGACATGAATGCAGAAGGTGAATGCAGAAAATGAATGCAGAAAATGAATGCAGATGTTGTAAGCAACAGCGACTTCAGGAGAAGCTAATCCATGAGCAGTTCATCCGCACCACCTGCTCATTCATGGAAGCAACTTGATCCTGCCACAGCGGACGACTTAAACTTAACGCCATTACACGAAAGCCAAAATATGTGTATGGACGGTTGCATCTTGCGCCCTCTTGTTGTTGTTTTTGTCCAGTCCTTCAAGCTCGTCCTGACAAATAACTTATTGTATATCAAGCACTATGTAATTAATTGTACTTTGCCAGAAAAAAAAGTCTTACTGATTAGATTTATATGTTACGTAAAGCCCACTGCACACTATACGATACCCGTTTCACAAAGCCTTTTTTCAATGACAAATGACAAAAATCAGTGACAAATCTGTTGATAACCCATCAGAAGCAAGGATTTCAGCAGCTTATAACAAAAACTGTCATTTGTCACTGATGACAAGTTTTGTGAAACGCCCCCCTGAATTCCAGATAGTCAAAGAAATGGCAATCTTCCTGTTAGCTTCTAAATAATGATATCAAGAAAGGTGACAACCGGAATTGGAGCATTTGAGCTTTTTAGTGAGCATAAAAGCCTAATCGCCTTCAAGACGTAGATAAGCACACTTCTGGTCTGAAGTTACAGTTTTGAGCCAATTTAGCTTTTTTTCCTTCAAGAAAGCATTAATAAGATTTTATTAATCATATGACTACTCAGAACCTCTGTAATTGAGATTTTACATGTTGAATGTTCATATCAAATGCTCTTGCAAAGTCTTTCAAAATTGGATGGTAGTCAGATCGTATAGTGTGCAGTGGGCATTACAATCAACGGGAATCTTGATGATACATGTGTACCTCTATAACGTTGTCCGTATTATGCCTATGAAAAGACGGAAAAAAATGCCCTACCGGCTGGTTTCTTATACAGTTAACAAGTAGATTATTCATACACCTTGTTAATTTGATGTTATTTGTGTTTTTTTAAACTCAAGAATGAAAAGTGGAATGGTTGAATTTGGGCCTTTGTAGAATACTGTGTAGATGGAAACTTTAATAAGACACATTCTCGATAATCATGAATACCGTAGGGATAAATAAAGGTTCACATAATAATAATAATAATATTCCACTTATATAGCGCTTAATACAAATGTCTCTAAGCGCTTTACAGATAAACTATTACCCCGATCATTGGATTCAGTGCTTGCACGTACTAAAATAATTACAAAACTTGGTATGGGGATGATTAAAGGAAACCAAAACCTTCATACTAAGTTACTTTTATTGTAAAGTTTAAGATATTTGAAAAATATCAGTGAAAATTTGAACAAAATCGGGCAAGGAATAAGGAAGTAAGAGCTTTTTGAAATGACTAGTCACTAGAGGGCGGTATTCAATTTGATGACATCATCTGTGGACAACTCTCCATGCCTTTTGTACATCAAATTTCATGTTTTTCCTTCTTTCTTGTGATTGAGGTAATGTACTCCCCTGAAAGCAAGATATAGAATGCAAAATGATATTCTACTTCACATGTTATGAAGTCGGATCAAGAACACAAATAAATACGAAGAAAACAAAAAAATTGTGAAATTTGATGTACAAAAGGCATGGAGAGTTGTTCACAGATGATGTCATCAAATTGAATACCGCCCTCTAGTGACTAGTCATTTCAAAATGCTCTAACTTTCTTATTCCTTGCCCGATTTTGTTCAAATTTTCACTGATTTTATTCAAATCTTTTAAACTTTACAATAAAAGTAACATAGTATGAAGGTTTTGGTTCCCTTTAATTTAGTTGTTAACTGTACAAGATACAATACATGTAATTGGTATCTGCCCTAATCGTGAAGAGCATGGACTATGAATTTCGACAGTATCCTGCAAAGGAAATAGATACCTATGAAATGCAGTCAATAGATATCTATGAAATGCAGTCAATAGATATCTATGAAATGCAGTCAATAGATATCTATGAAATGCAGTCAATAGATATCTATGAAATGCAGTCAATAGATCATCTATGAAATGCAGTCAATAGATATCTATGAAATGCAGTCAATAGATATCTATGAAATGCAGTCAATAGATATCTATGAAATGCAGTCAATAGATATCTATGAAATGCAGTCAATATGAAATCATGTTTGTTGGTGCTTGTAGCTTCTCTGTAGTCAGTAGTTTGATCATTTTTCTTCAGAGGGTTTTGGAAGCACTGGATTTAAATATAAGCAATCTAATACAAGCACAAAGTTGCTTTGGGGAGAGAAGAATTTGTTTTAAAAGCACGAGATTTCAACGATATTATTTTGACAAGCAAAAACAATTTTCGGGGATAAAAACAAGTTTGTTAGAGAGGTAATGGATATTTAAAAAATATTATTTTGCTTAAGACAGACAAAATGTATTAAGAATTAAACAGGTTTGCATGGATTTTGGTAATATTGGGCAAAAACAAGTAAAGAATTTTGTTTTGAAAAAATAAGTTTGTAGTGGAAGCACTAGATTTTGACGACATTATTGGGCTTTTAAGTAAGAAAAAAAACAAAGTTGTTTTGGGGGATGGTTTTATGTAGTTTCTGGCTGATGGACATTAAAACCCAAGGTGTACATATTTATTGTTTTCCTCGGATCGCACTTTGGGTTTAAAAAAAAAATACTAGGATAGAAAACATTTGAAGTGTACCAATCACTCACCTGGGACCTGTTTCACAGTCAATTACAAAAGTCAGTGACAAATCTGCTGATAACCAATCAGAAGCAAGGATTTCACTAGCTTATAACAAAAACTGTCATTTGTCACAGATGACAACTTTACCTGGCATTCTGTAGGTAAATGGTTTAAGAGTATGAAGAAAAACAAGCCATGTATAGGGCTCGTAATGTACCCAAGTTGGGTTCTGTACGAGATCCTATACTATGCAAATACCTACGCTTGGTTTAACTACTTATCTCAACAATAAGTTGTGCTGTTTACTAAGAATTGAATTGCAAGTTTGCAACATCTCTTTGTAGAAGTAATATTCAAAGCTCATTTTATTTATACAGTATAGCCACTCAACCCCTCACATCGAGCAAAACACGTTTTGATAATTTAGTACACTTTAAATCTTGTAAGTTGAGATGGATCGAGGCAATTGACGGCATACTTCAACACAGAGTATGAAATTGGAATCATTTCAATTTCCCAAGGTTAAGTACATAATCCTGTTGTTATTAATAATATGATTATGGAAAATGATGCTTGAAGGAAACTTAATTGACTTATGTTCTCAGATCACAATTTCCCCCTCCATTTTCACTTTCTGGCATTCAAGGAATTTCATATCTGTATCTCTTTCAGTTTCCATTGGTGTTTCTATTTTCATATCATCATAATTTTGATATCAAAAAGTGCAAAAATATGTTATATCTGATTGTTCATTGCTGTTTTAAAGAGTCAGATTTTTCAGATTTTTTGTTTCTTCTAATTTTTAGAAGTGGACTTTTAATTTGTTATTGGATTAAATGCAGTTCAATATTTATAATTTAACAATGGCATAAAGTGTGACCTTTAAAAAAAACACCATTAGAATTGTCAGGGTATATGCATCGTAGCTCTTTATTGAATATGAGAGAGACAAGACGCTGGATATTATTTGGGCATCTCCATATTGATTTCTTGAAAGCCTTTGCAATCCCATTTTCACCAGAAACTGACAGATCTGACATTGATTAATAAATGTTCTAGACTCATTTGAATTACACTTGACTTCACTCACATGGGAATCACTTAAAACTTGTGGCCTGCAACCAGTGGAGAATGCTGGATCAAGCAAAGAAATATGTGGCTTTGTTAAACTTGAAACTATGGTGGCTTTGAATAGAAAATTCTTTAAAAAAATAAGAATGTGAAATCGTGACTTAAAGTTATATGTACTATGTAGCAGGGTGGGATCGAGTCGTGGACATTCAATATTGTTTTTGAAGATATTTAGCTTTAAAAGCAAAGATAAAGTGTTACGCTTTTAAAGATATTTTCATGAAGAAAAAATGCAGCGTATATATCTTAGAAACAGGAAGAGATCTATTCTTATACATGATTGTTTGTTGGTTTGTTGTCCGGGAGAAGACATGAAACCTGACAAGAGAAGGTTTGCATTTAGAAGCTCGGATATCTACATGGACATATATTTATTTATGCGGCCTGATACCCAGGGCAACAGGCATCTTTAAAAAGACTATTGACCGGTAGGCGGGCATGCCATGGCTAAAATCACAACTCCAATTTCGACCAATCAGATGGCTAGATTTCTAAAGAGAGGTATATACAATT